CCTCTCCAATGTGCCCCTCCTCCTCTACCTCCTGCCTTCAGGTATCAGCAAAGTCACGAAGCCACAAAAGAGGGTGATGCTACAAATTCAGCCTGATGCAAAGCAGACAATATCCAGGGTCCAGAAGATCTAGTGAATCGTTGCAAACAATATCCTTTCCTCTCTCTGTGTGGCCCTTTCCTTCAGGGAAACATTACTTGTCAAATGTAGCTGAAATATTCAGTTTGGCATGCCTGCCTTTAAAAGAAACAAACAACAAAAAAAAGCCTGCTCTGATTTAATCAGTGCATGTTTTTATCTTCTGCGCACCTCACATATTCTGTTTCTTCTTCTTTTGATCTGCTAAGGAATGTTTCTTACTTTATTTGGAAGCCCAAGACAAATTATTTTAAACCTCTCCATTCCTAATAGCTTATTCAGAGAAGTAGGTCACACTGAGCTAAATATGCGTTACTTCCCAGTTAGCTTGAATAGCAGGAGTGGGGATTTATTTTCCAGCTCAAGGGCCACGTTCTTTTTTAGGGGTCCCTGGGGACCATTTCAGTGGTACGCAGAGCCAGAGGCAAAAGTGAGCAGAGCAATGGATGTGCCTTTGTACAACAGACCACACCGGAGCTTTCCAAACTGTGTGTCGTGACACGTTAAGTGTGTCGGCTGCAGCGTGTCACACGAACGCTCCTCCCGGGGCTGGAAAGGGGTTAAACTCTGTTTTGCTGGTGTTGTAATCAAAATCTCTTGTTCCATTATGGGGTACACAAGAGCACTTATAGAGTCCTTTGTAGGTTCTCCATCGGTAGGAGAAAAGAACAGAGGCCAACCAGAGAATATTGAGAAGCAAAGCAGCTAGTAAGCCTGATCTTTATTAACACTGTTGCAACAGGGTGCTCCGCTCACCCGCAGGAATGGAAGAGGACCCCAAACAAAGGTGTGCCTACCATTATATAGACATTTTAAATTCCCTGCCCTGGAGCTCAAAACCACCCCCAGAAACATCATATCTACATAATAGAAAAGGTGGTCTACAACAGAAATCTGAGTGCTTTGTTTATCTCCTGTCTGCCTGGTTATCTGATAATGCCTTATCCGATTGCCTTTCCTGGTAGTCTGGCCATTCCTTTGAGATGGTAATCACTTAATTCCTGAGACAATGGGAAGGTTCCCTCACCCCCTCCCTCCTTGCAGAGAAACATTTGGTCAGTTTGGGAGTCAAAATGGTTTCAGGACTGTCTTCCTGTGCTGCTCCAGACATGTGGTTTATATATTTATGTATGTGTTTGCTTGGTCCATTTATGAACATTTATTATATATCTAAGATCTTAAAATTATTATAACACTGGCAAAACTGAATGACTGTGCTGTGAAATGATACATGTCTAAAATGTGTGTCCCCAACATGAAAAGTTTGGAAAGCTCTGTAGCCGTGCAAAAAGAAAAGACAAGAAAAGAAAAAATACAGAGGTTTCTATGTCCCCCTCTCAATCCTCCATCTTGGTAAGCAAGAGATATTATCATCACAGTCCAAGGACACAGTTATGGTAAAAAGGTAAAAACAGTAAAGGACCCCTGGACGGTTAAGTCCAGTCAAAGGTGACTAAGGGGTTGTGGCGTTCATCTCGCTTTCAGGCCGAGGGGGCCGGCGTTTGTCCACAGACAGCTTTCCGGGTCATGTGACCAGCATGACTAAACCGCTTCTGGCACAAGAGGACACCGTGACGGAAACCAGAGTGCATGGAAATGGCATTTACCGGTACCTTCCTGCCACAGCAGTACCTATTTATCTACTTGCACTGGCGTGCTTTCAAACTGCTAGGTTGGCAGGAGCTGGGACAGAACAACGACCATCGCAGGGATTCGAAGCACCAACCTTCTGATTGGCAATCCCAAGAGGCTCAGTGGTTTAGACCACAGCACCACCTGCATGGCAGTAAGGGGGTCAGTTAGGCCGGGGGGGGGCACATTCAGCCCCCAGCAGTGACTTGGCTTGCGAGCTCTGTTATTGTTGTTGTTACTATTTATTTTTCAATTTATATACCGTCCCTTATCAGAAGACCTCGGAGCAGTGTACGGCATTAAAAACACATTACAGAACATCAACGAGAAAACCGTAATTAAATCCATAATGATAGACAGCCTAATAGTAAAATAATCATCATAATAACAGTCCACGATTGGCCCACGGTTTGAACAGGAAACATCAGACAGTGGTCCCTCTTACAGACTGAATGTTTACTTGGATATGATTCTTATTGTGTCAAACTGGGCTTGCTGCCATGTAAATGCAGACTGCAATATTGTTCTGAACACTTAACATGGAGTTTTCTTCTGAACAGGCATGTGTAGCATTGCCCTGTAATTGTTCTAACCACATTGTCTCTTATAAAGGTATACGGCCTAGATCTTCTCCAAGACTGCAGGCAAGATGGATATTTTTATCATCTCTCTCTGTTGCTTGTGAATATTTACTAACACGTTTCACTGCCTCAAGCAGAATTGCAACTCTTCAATTTTTTTAATGGTACTTTTTTTAAAAGGAACATCAGAAGTAGCATCAGTTCATGTACCTTAGCAATGTCCACACTGACTGGCAGCATCTCTCCAGGGTTTCAGGCAAGGTTCTCTCCCAATCTCCCCTGGAGATACAGGGGACTGAACCTGGAAACTTCTGCTTACAAGGTAGTAGTTCTACCACTGAACTACAGCCCTTCCCTTTTTTGTGAGCCAGATGCAAAGTAATTAGTTATTGTTGTTTAGTTGTTTAGTCGTGTCCAACTCTTTGTGACCCCCTGGACCAGAGCACGCCAGGCACTCCTGTCTTTCACTGCCTCCCGCAGTTTGGTCAAACTCATGCTGGTAGCTTTGAGAACACTGTCCAACCATCTTGTCCTCTGTCGTCCCCTTCTTCTTGTGTCCTCCATCTTTCCCAACATCAGGGTCTTTTCCAGGGAGTCTTCTCTTCTCATGAGGTGGCCAAAGTATTGGAGCCTCAGCTTCAGGATCTGTCCTTCCAGTGAGCACTCAGGGCTGATTTCCTTCAGAATGGATACGTTTGATCTTCTTGCAGTCCATGGGACTCTCAAGAGTCTCCTCCAGCACCATAATTCAAAAGCATAAATTCTTCGGCAATCAGCTTTCTTTATGGTCCAGTTCTCACTTCCATACACCACTACTGGGAAAACCAGAGCTTTAACTATATGGACCTTTGTTGGCAAGGTGATGTCTCTGCTTTTTAAGATGCTGTCTAGGTTTGTCCTTGCTTTTCTCCCAAGAAGCAGGCAGAGATGAGTTTTTCCTCCTTGCCTTTGCAGGGCTGCAGTTTGAGGCATGGCCACAAGGACCCGTTAGAAAGCTCAGATCTTGCTATATATATATACACACAGTGGGACCTTGGTTCTGAAACTTAAACCATTCTGAGTGTCCGTTTGAATCCCAAAATGGTTCCTGCAGCCAATCAGAAGCCGTGGAAGCCGTGTCGGACGTTCAGCTTCTGAAAAACATTCGCAAACCGGAACACTCACTTCCGGGTTTGTGGCATTTGGGAGCCGATTTGTTCGGGAGCCAAACCATTTGGCTACCAAGGTACCACTGTATATATACACACACACACACACACAACCTTAGCTGCTGTCCCGTCCCCCCCCCCATTCCACCAAGCCACGTTTTGCCTCTGAAAAATTAAGGATGATTTAAAGTTTAGTCATGTACAGCCTCTGGAAAATTGAGGCAGTATATCCTTATACTGCCAGACACAGGAACAAAATAAAAAATAAAAAATGTTCCTCTGACTCAGCTTCTCCAAAATCAGTTTAAGGGCAAGATCTGAGTTTTCAGCGGGTCCTTGTGGCTACGCCTTCATATAGCAGCTTAATCTGGAGGAAAGATCAGTATTTATTTATTTATTTTATATACTGCCCTATACCAAAGGGACGTGGGTGGCGCTGTGGGTAAAACCTCAGCGCCTAGGACTTGCCGATCGCATGATCGGCGGTTCGAATCCCCGCGACGGGGTGCGCTCCCGCTGCTCAGTCCCAGCGCCTGCCAACCTAGCAGTTCGAAAGCACCCCCGGGTGCAAGTAGATAAATAGGGACCGCTTACTGGCGGGAAGGTAAACGGCGTTTCCGTGTGCTGCGCTGGCTCGCCAGATGCAGCTTGTCACGCTGGCCACGTGACCCGGAAGTGTCTGTGGACAGCGCTGGCTCCCGGCCTATAGAGTGAGATGGGCGCACAACCCTAAAGTCTGTCAAGACTGGCCCGTATGGGCAGGGGTACCTTTACCTTTTTATACCCAGAGGTCAGGGCGGTTCACACAATGATGAGGGTGGAGCCTGGACTGACTCCAGCTGCAAAAGCTGAGGCTGCTGAACAGATTCTTGGGCTGGGTTTTTTTGTTGGGGGTGGGGCTTTTGCTGTTTTTGACATAAATTTTTTGTATCTTTATTTTAGGCATTACAATTTATGTGGGAATTGCACAAATCGGTTGCAATTTTTTTTAAATGTTTTATTTCTTGTTTATCACTTCTTTTGCCATGTCGTAATCACATTTGACTTTTTTCCATGTTGCAAGCCGTCCTTGAGCGTGGTTTTAACTACAGAAAGGCAGCGTACAATTAAAATTAGGCGAACCTGAATATTCTGCACCCAGATAAACCCAAGCCTGGAAACTTAATTCAGCGACGCGCTTAATTGTATCCCAGGAAAAGGTTGCAAAGCCAATTTCGCATCCTCTTGCGGCTACAATGTTGAAGCCCCGCCTGCAACATTCTTTCGTCGCTCCGCTGGAAGCGATTTGCAACACGCTCCGTTCCTTCGTGGACAGAAACATATTTTCCCCTTGTAGCAAAAAACGCCAGTTGTTTTTATGGCTCGAGATCAAATGCACAACAAATCCCAGGACCTTAGCACGTAGGTGCATTTGGTGTGGGGAGGGGGGCACGCGGAGAAAGCCCCACCCCCATTTCCCAACCATCCTCTTCCTCCCTCCTTTCCAGGAAATGACAAATATTTGCACCCGGGTCAACCAGCCCTCCTGCCTCGCCCCCACCTAAACCCTCCCTCCGCCCCCTAAGGCAGCCCTGCGAACCCCATAGCTGCTCAGGAGGTCGCATGGGACTCCGGCGATGGGCAGGTGGAGGCTGATGTGGCGGGTTTGGGGGCGCACGATGCCCCCGGGACTGAGATCCGCGGTGAGTGGAAAGCCTCGCTTTTTAAAAAAGAGAGATGCGTGCCATCCCGACGAGCGTGGGCGGAGCCCGTTGTTTTGCAAACACGCTGCCCGCGTGCGGACGTGCAGGGAGCCGCGTCTGCAAGATGGGGAAGGGGCGGTGCGCGGGGGTCGTCTTTACGCGCAGACTTGGGTGGGAAATCCCGGGGAGCTGGGGGGGGGGACGGACGACGACTCTCTCCTCACGAGGAAGCCTATGCACGGAGTCGGATCGAGTTGGGAAATGGAGAACCTCGCACCCAGCCCCCCCCCAAAAAAAACTCCCCACATTTGATAGTGGGCGGTAGAGGGAAGTGCCGTTTGTTTTGCAAAGCGTGCGCGCCGTCGGGGCTTCCATATGGCGAGCGTCTGCCTGCAAGGGGAGGAAGGTGGACGGCTCTGGCACAGAGGACGAAGGGGAAAGTTGCCACGAGTTTAGCCTTCAGATGATCGCAGCGCCCCGTGAGAGTGGAGAGGCCCAGAGAAATTTCTGCAGAGGGTAGAGAGAGGCCCTTAGGATACAAACGGGTAGGGCCGCGCCAGACAGAACAAAACCGCAAAACTCATATTTTAAAAACACAAAAGCAAAGCCATTTGCGATCCTGCCCCTCTGAACATGGTGCCACCTCTTTTTCCAGTTCCTCCCGCTCCGCCATTGGCTTCGTGTGTTGGAAGGCGGCACATGCACCTTGCATTTAAAGCACATTCCACCAGCGCCCCCAGGATCCTGGGAAATGCAGTTTACCAGTCGCGGTACTACAATTCCCAGACCCCTTTTCTAAAAACGATGGTTCCTAAGAAGCGGTGCTTTTAAAATGTGATTTGTATGCTCCCAAAGATTCCTGCTAGGCCTGTCTAGTTCAGGAATAGGGAACCTCAGGCACAGTTGCTAAATGCAGTTTTCCAAGCTCCGTTTTCGGGCCCTTGGGTCTCTTTGCCTCTTTGCCTTCTCACTGGTCCTCCTTCTGTGTTTTGCTTCTCTGGATGAAGAGTTTTGGGGCATGCAGAAACGTCTGGCTTTTGTGTAACTGGGATGTACCCAACTACACAACCGTAAATGTAAACAGCCACACTTTTGCCCCTGAAAAGTGACCCCTGGCATTTGCCCTCTCTGAGTGGCAAAATTTCTCAGCCCCTGATCTAGTCCCAACAGATGATGCCACTGCCATAGAATGACCACGGGCAGGACATGAGGACAACAGTGTTTTCCCACCTCCGTTCCCAAGCAGCTGGCAATCAGAGGCAATGAACTCTTAAAGGTAAAGGTAAAGGGACCCCTGACCATTAGGTCCACTCGTGGCCGACTCTAGGGTTGCGGTGCTCATCTCCCTTTATTGGCCGAGGGAGCCGGCGTACAGCTTCTGGGTCATGTGGCCAGCATGACTAAGCCGCTTCTGACGAACCAGAGCAGCGCACGGAAACGCCGTTTACCTTCCTGCCAGAGTGGTACCTATTTATCTACTTTGACGTGCTTTTGAACTGCTAGGTTGGCAGGAGCAGGGACCGAGCAACGGGAGCTCACCCTGTCGTGGGGATTCGAACCGCCAACCTTCTGATCGGCAAGCCCTAGGGTCAGTGGTTTAACCCACAGCTCCACCCACTTCCCTCAATGAACTCTTATTCCTCACTATAACCAGATTTCTAAGAATGTGTGCTGACATCCCTTCCCTTTTGTTTTATCTACAGTCATTTAAAACTCCCCCCTGTAAAGATTCCTGGAAACTGTAGTTTGTTAAGGGTGCTGGGAATTGTAGCACTGTAAAGGGTGGAACTCACAGAGGTTTAACAAGCAACCCCTCTTCCCAGGGAACTCTGGGAATTGTAGCTCTCTTGAAGGCATCCTGACACCTTTGAGTTCCCTTAACAAAACTACAGTTCCCAGGATTATTTGAGGGGCGGGGGTGCTGTTTAAAGCGGTATGATACTGCTGTATAATGCAGAGGGGCCTTGGTTAAACTCAGAGTAGACCCATTGAAATTAGTGGTCATGACTGACATAGGACCATTAATTTAAATGGGCTTCCTCTGCACAGAACTCATTGTTTGTGCTGTGCATAGATGCTGAGGGCAGAGCCATGCTTTATTAAGGGTAGCGCAAGAGGCAGGGCTTTGTACATGTTTTGTCCCTTCAGGTTGGCAGCACACAAAGGCAACTCAATTAAAACCCATTTGTGGGGATCTGCCCTTGGGGAAATCTCAGCAGCCATTGAAGATACGGTACTTGTTGAGTGCAGAAACTCAGATACAGAAGCTAATCGCCAAATGGTACCTTAAACCTCGGTTACGGTCACCGCGCTGGAATGTCTAGGTTCCTTTTTTTTTTTTACAGTGAAATTTCTTATTCTTGCTGTTGTTATTATTTTTTGCTTCTATGTGGCTTTATATTTTAAAGAAAAAATTTTTCAATGCGGTTTACAACACATCAAATAAAGCAACCCAGAAAAAAATCAAATTCAAGCATCAATTAAAAAAAAAATTCAGATCCTTCTCTATGTGACATTTTACATTTCCCAGCTTTATATTTAATTTATATAGCTGTCCCGTAGCAGAAGGACTCCAGGAAGCCAGTGTAGTGTAGTGGTTAAAGTGTCAGACTAGGTAACCTGGGAGATCAGGGTTCAAATCCCCACTCAGTCATGAAACGCACCGGGTGACCTTGGAGTCAGTCGCAGCCTCTTAACCTACCTCACAGGGTCGTCATAGGGATTATCTGAGGGGGGGAGGTGAAGCATAGACCCCTTGGAGAAAAAGATGGGCCATAAATGCAATAAATAAGGCCTTCTGCTGATCTGCTTAAGGAAGCTGAAGGGACCAGCCAGATGGAGATGTAAGCACCCAGATGGTACATGACCCCAGTAAAGCTTGCAAAAATATACCATTTGTCGGATAATAAGTGTTGGAAATGTAAAGAAACTGAGGGAACATTCTTTCACCTTTGGTGGACGTGCCCAAGGGTCAAGGCTTTCTGGGAAATGATATATAATGAATTGAAAAAGGTATTTAAATATACCTTCCCTAAGAAACCAGAGGCCTTCCTTTTGGGCATTGTCGGCCAAATGGTGCCAAAGAAGGACAGAACTTTCTTTATGTATGCAACAACAGCAGCAAGAATACTCATCACAAATCATTGGAAGACACAAGACTTGCCCACTCTGGAAGAATGGCAGATGCAAGTGATAGACTACATGGAACTGGCAGAAATGACTGGCAGAATCCGAGATCTGGGAGAAGAGCTAGTGGAAGAGGACTGGAAGAAATTTAAAGATTACCTGCAAAAGCATTGCAAATTGTATGAATGTTAAAATGATGCAGGATACAAAGATAATATGGCATTAGTGACATAGTGGAAAGGAATATGTAAAAAATGTTTTAGAAGAATAAGGGTGGAAAAGTTAGAATAATATTATGTCAAATTTAAACAAATTGATATAAAGGGAAAAATTGGAGACATAATAGTTGAAATGTATATTACAGAATAAGATTTGAAAGAGGGTAAGGCACTGCTGAATATGATTGTGTAAAAGGGAACACTGTAAAGGGAGATGTGAGGGAGTCTGGAAGGAAGGTTATGAAAGCAAGAACTAAGAAATCGGACTTTTATGGGTTTTTTTCTGTCTTTTTTTCTTGTCTATTTTTTACATTTTTTACTGTATTTTTTATTTTTACTTGATTATGATAATGTTTTTCTCTTTTCTCTTGTTTTGATTGTGAAGTTTGTTCTATTGTTTAAAACTTTAATAAATATCTTATAAAAAAAAAAGAGAGAGATGTAAGGACCCAGAGATCTCCTTGTGGCGCCTGGGGAATTTCTGACCCTGCTTGAGTGGAAGTGATTGTTCTTTTGACTCTGCCCTTTCTTCCCTTCCAGACACTCCACTGCAGGCATGCCTCGTCCTTCCCGCTCCCTCGCCAGCCCCTGCCCTCGCTGGCGGAGACCACGGCCCGGTACCTGCGCTCCCTGGAGCCGCTGGTGAGCCCAGAGGAGCTGGAGCAGACGCAGCAGCTGCTGGCTGAGTTTGGGGTGCCAGGCGGAGAAGGCGAGAGGCTCCAAGCACGGCTGCAGCGCCGGGCGGACCGCATGGAGAACTGGGTAAGGAAGGGGGACCCGGGGCTCTGCGGAGAGACCCCACAAAGCAGGAAGAAGCTTCCGCTGGCAGTGGGGCTTCCCAGCAGAGCTCTCAGGGCAAATTCGCGGCATACATTGAAAGAGCTATGCTACCATGTTAAACAGCCATGGCTCCCCCCCCCAAGGGTTTCTGGGAACTGAGATATGCTAAGCCCCTCACAGAGCTGCAGCTTCATTATACACCAGGCACCCCCAAACTTGGCCCTCCAGATGTTTTGGGACCACAACTCCCATCATCCCTAGCTAACAGGACCAGTTGTCAGGGATGATGGTAATTGTAGTCCCAAAACATCTGGAGGGCCAAGTTTGGGGGTGCCTGTTATACACCTTTAGGTGCCGGGGGAAAACTGTTCCTTTTTAACTGGGCCTTTGGTTTTCGAGAGTAATTGCTTCCATTTTCGAACGCGCCTCAGAAGTCGAATGGCTTCTGCTCCATGTTTTTCAATTTTCTTAACGGGTTTTCGGACGTTTCGAAAGTCAAACACTCTTCTGGAACGGATTATGTTCGAAAACCAAGGTTCCTCTGTATACCTGGTACCTCAGGTTAAGTACTTAATTCATTCCGGAGGTCCGTTCTTAACCTGAAGCACCACTTTAGCTAATGGGGCCTCCTGCTGCTGCCGCACAATTTCTGTTCTCATCCTGAGGTAAAGTTCTTAACCTGAGGTACTATTTCTGGGTTAGCGGAGTCTGCAACCTGAAGCGTATGTAACCTGAAGCGTATGTAACCCGAGGTACCACTGTATTTTGTAATTTTATGTTGCAAACTGCCTTGATATCTACAGGTATAAGCCGGTACACAAATTTAAACAACAACAACAACGCAGTTTCCAGAGTGGTTTCACAGTCACTGGGAACGCAGGGGGTTGTAGCTCTGGGAGGGGAATCGGGGTCTCCTAACAGCTCTCAGGACCCTAAATAACAAATTACAGGTCCCATAATTATTTGGGGAAAGGCATGGCTGTTTTAAAGTTGGTGCCGTAGCTGCTCCATTAGGACGGACAGGGCACGGCCCAGGAGCAGACCTTGTTAATCTGCCACCTGTGCATGCCGTTTACCTTCCCGCCACAGTGGTACCTATTTATCTACTTGCACTGGCGTGCTTTTGAACTGCTGGGTTGGCAGGAGCTGGGATAGAGCAGCGGGAGGTCACCACCATTGAGCGGATTCGAACCACTGACCTTCCGATCAGCAAATGCAAGAGGCTCGGTGGTTTAGAAAACTCACCATGAACACCTCCCTCAATGGCGCTCATTTGAGAGGTGCCAGAGCTGAGTTCCTGTTACTTCTTCCTGAAAAAAAGCCCTTGCGGGGTGTCACATCAGGGCAGAAAGAAGTGTTGTATTCCCTTGTCCTAACTGTATCCCATTCATTCCAGATCACAGACTGGTGGGTTCAGTCAGCATACCTGGAAAGCCGCCTGCCGCTGGCTGTTCACTCCAGCCCCGCTGTCGTGCTGCCCAAGCAGGATTTTAATGACTGGAAAGGACAATTGAGGTAAGGAAGGGGGCAGTGGGTGGGGGATGGAAGGATACTCAAGACGGGTGGGGAATTTTGACAGTCAGTGGGGAAGCTGCCTTGGCTTTAGGCTGTTCTGGTCATGTTCCCTGCACAGTCCACTTCTGAGGTCCAGCTCCGAGGGCCTTCTGGCAGTTCCCTCCTGCGAGAAGTGAGGTTGCAGGGAACCAGGCAGAGGGCCTTCTCGGTGGTGGCACCCACCCTGTGGAACGCCCTCCCGTAAGATGTCAAGGAAATAAACAACTAGCTGACTTTTAGAAGACATCTGAAACCAGCCCTGTTTAGGGAAGTTTTTAATGTCTGATGTTTTATTGTATTTTTAATACTTTGTTGGAAGCCACCCAGGGTAATAATAATAATAATTAATAATAACAACAACTTATTATTTATCTATCTGCCTGGGCTTCCCGAGCCACTCTGGGCAGCTTCCAACAAAATATTAAAATACAGTAATGCATCAAACATTAAAAGCTTCCCTAAACAGGGCTGCCTTCAAATGTCTTCTAAAAGTCTGGTAGTTGTTCTCTTTGACATCTGGTGGGAGGGTGTTCCGCAGGGCGGGTGCCACCATCGAGAAGGCCCTCTGCCTGGTTCCCTGTAACTTGGCTTCTCGCAGCGAGGGAACCGTCAGAAGGCCCTCGGAGCTGGATCTCAGTGTCCGGGGTGGAGACGCTCCTTCAGGTATACTGGACCGAGGGCTTTTTAGGGTGACTGGGGAAACCTAGCCAAATCGGTTCTGTTCATCCAGGGGGAACCTTTGGCCCTCCAGAGTTTTACTCCCAACTCTCATCAGCCCAAGACAGGATGGCCAGTGGTCAAGTGTTGTGGGAATTGTAGTTCTGCAACACCCGGATAGCACAGATTCGCCACACCATGTTAATCCTGCAGCAGCAGCTCTTATTTCAGCTGCCCGTGTGAACACACCCCTGGCTTGAATCCGGGTTGTCGCACAACTGCTTCAGGCTGAGTCACGGTGTTTATAAATGAGCTCACCCGGACACCGAACTAGTTAAGCATGATGTAAAACGAAATATAATTACCAAGTGGGTGGGTGGCAATTAACCACAGCTATCCCTGCAGTTAATAAACCTGTTGCTGGCAGCAGATCAAAGTGGACCGGGTGACCAAACCTGTATCCTTATGATGGCTTCTTGGGAAGGAACAATTGTACTGGGGGTATAGCTCAGCGGTAGAGCATTTGACTGCAGATCAAGAGGTCCCTGGTTCAAGTCCGGGTGCCCCCTCTTTTTGGAGGAATTCACATTTTTAATCCTCCCCTAGCCCCAGTTTTTCAGGTTAGTTAAAATGTATAATTGTTTTTCCTTTGGAAAATATTACAATAAGGGCCACGACAGGCCCCATTTTCCTTGTTCAAGGCCAGTTCTCCCTTATGTGTGTGTGTGGAGAAAACACCTTTTACATTTTTGGTTCTTCAAATCCCCAACACCTCCTCTTGTGGGTAAAATCTTGAAATACTTTGGCAGGTAATTTTGTCATTGAACAGAACATCTGAGCGATACCAATACAGTGGTGCCTCGCAAGACGAAATTAATCCGTTCCGCGAGTCTCTTCGTCTTGCGGTTTTTTCGTCTTGTGAAGCACGGCTATTAGCGGCTTAGTGGCCATTAGTGGCTTAGCGGCTATTAACGGCTTAGCGGCTTTAAGAAAAAGGAAACAAACTCGCAAGAACTCGCAAGACGTTTCGTCTTGCGAAGCAAGCCCATAGGGAAATTCGTCTTGCGGAACGACTCAAAAAACGGAAAACCCTTTCGTCTAGCGAGTTTTTCGTCTTGCGAGGCATTCATCTTGCGGGGCACCACTGTACAGTGGTACCTTGTGTTACGGACGGGATCCGTTCCGGAGGCCCATCCGTAATGTGAAATGCCCGCAACTTGAAGCACTGCGCAGGCACAGGCATGAAGCATGATTTAGTGCCTCTGCACATGCGCGAGCGGCGAAACCCAGAAGTAAACTGTTCCGGTACTTCCGGGTTGCTGCGGGACGTAACACAAAAAGACGCAACATGAAGCGGACGCAACACAAGGTATGACTCTATATTTTGCTGTCAGAACTGGAGCAGCAATTCTGTGTCCCCACATGTCAAGGCACATAGCCGTGAAGGGCTGGCTATTATTATTATTATTATTATTATTATTATTACTACTACTACTACTACTTCTACAGTGTACCTCAGGTTACAGGCGCTTTGGGTTACAGACTCTGCTAATCCAGAAATAGTACCTCAGGTTAAGAACTTTGCTTCAGGATGAGAACAGAAATCGCGCAGCGGGGACGCAGGGGCAGCGGGAGGCCCCATTAGCTAAAGTGGTGCTTCAGGTTAAGAACGGACCTCCAGAACGAATTAAGTTCTTAACCCAAGGTGCCACTGTAATTATTATTATTATTCTCTGTCCATCTGACTGAGTTTATGTTGGCCTCTGTGGCAGAAAATCCCCCAGTGCCTCTCTGTGGCAGTAAAGCTATAAAAACAATGCCCCTCTCATGACACCCAAAAGCAGCTGCCTGAGGCATACCTCCTTTCGCCTAACAGTAGGGTCGGCCCCATGGAGATACTCTGAGGCCTGGTGTGACTGTGGGGACAAGCCCCTGTCCTTCTCTTGACCTGGCAAGACTTGAGGGGAGAGTTGAGCTTGCCAATGAATTTTGAAAACACTCAAAAAGAAGCAAAATATTTTACTACTGTCCTACTTTTTCTGAACCGATTGTGAGGTCTGGGAGATGCTTCATCCTTGGATAGCTCAGTTGGTTTGAGCGTGGTGCTGATAACACCAAGGTTGCAGGTTCGATCTCTTTATGGGACAGCTGCATATTCCTGTGTTGCCGGGGGTTGGACTAGATGGCCCTTAGAGTCCCTTTCAGCCCTACATTTCTTTGGTTCTTCAGGTTCAGGGGGGAAGTTGGAGGTCTCAACACTTTTGCTCTTTTCTTAACAAAATCAGTAACACTGGTACCGGAGATCCCACTACAGTGGTACCTCGGGTTACATACGCTTCAGGTTACAGACGCTTCAGGTTACAGACTCCGCTAACCCAGAAATAGTACCTCAGGTTAAGAACTTTGATTCAGGATGAGAATGGCGGCAGCAGGAGGCCCCATTAGCTAAAGTGGTACCTCAGGTTAAGAACAGTTTCAGGTTAAGAACGGACCTCCGGAACTAATTAAGTACTTAACCTGAGGTACCACTGTACTAATAATTGCCCGTAATCTGTGGCTACAGGAAGTGTTGGGTGTGTTCTCCACTTGCAGATGGAAGGCAAACAAACATAGGTGTGTGTGGTCCACGCTCTGTGTCAACGGAGGCTGCGCTCCAGAATATGCTCCCAAACCCTTTGCAATGCAAGGGGTTTGTTGCCTACCAGAAAAGCTGCTGTGGGAAGATTCCCTGCAGATGGAATATTCAAAAGCAATTACTCATAAATATATGGCAGAGAACAATGTGGCAAAACCAGTATCCATAACTGAGCTTCAGGTGAGGCATGTCTGTGTGCTGGGGGTATAGCTCAGCGGTAGAGCATTTGACTGCAGATCAAGAGGTCCCTGGTTCAAGTCCGGGTGCCCCCTCTTTTTTATTTTTAGGCAGGATTTTGTTTGATTTCTCACCTTCCCTTTCCATAAAGGTTCATAGTAAATAAAATTCAGGAGTAACCTCCTTACTTGGAACATATGGGAAAGTATCAGGAAAGTGATCTCACATCTTTCAATATTACTTTCTCTATTTCTACCCTGCTTTCTTGGCAAAATGTCCACAAGGCAGCTTTCAACAAAATAAGATCAAAACACAGCGTAAAAGCAAACAAACATTAAAGATCATCAGCAGGTTAAAACAGAAGCAGGCTACCCAATAAATATGAGCTTGTATGCTATCAATAAATCTTTGCAGCCTTCAGTGAAGTTGGGAAGGAGGCAGATATTTACATGGGTGCCCAGGGGGAGGGCAAGGAGGGGCAGTTGCCCCCTGCCCCACATGAAACATAATCCCCACATTCCCAGCTTTCATTAAAAAATAATAATCTAGAATTTGTAGAACCCAGGATATGGGACAAAAAGCTCAGACACAGTTAGGGATATAGGAACTGCCTTATATTGAGTCAGACCACTGGGAAACCCAGCTAGATAAGCGGAGTATAAATAAAAAAATATTATTATAATATTATGGTCCATCTAGCTCTGTATTGTCTACAGACAATAGCAGCTCTACCTAGCAATGCCAGGAATTGAACCTGCAACCTCTTATTTGCAAGGCAAACGCTCTGCCTCTGAGCTGCAGCCCTTCCCCTGTACTTCTCATTGTTGGTCAGAAATTAGCCTGCTCCCCCTTTTAAGGGTTTTACTTTGTACCCCACCCCCACAACACCAAGAACAAAATTTCCCATGAGTGCCCATGCAGGCATTTTCATTGCACATTCTGGAGCCAGAACTGATTTTGGTCAGACTCATGTTGGTAGCTTCAAGAACACTGTCCAACCATCTCGTCCTCTGTCGTCCCCTTCTCCTTGTGCCCTCCATCTTTCCCAACATCAGGGTCTTTTCCAGGGAGTCTTCTCTTCTCGTGAGGTGGCCAAAGTATTGGAGCCTCAGCTTCAGGATCTGTCCTTCCAGTGATCACTCAGGGCTGATTTCCTTCAGAATGGAGAGGTTTGATCTTCTTGCAGTCCATGGGACTCTCAAGAGTCTCCTCCAACACCTTAATTCAAAAGCACCAATTCTTTGGCGATCAGCCTTCTTGATGGTCCAGCTCTCACTTCCATACAGGTAGCTCGATAGTAGAGCATTTGACAGCAGATCAAGCTTTTCTTACCCTCTCTTTGGGGGAAAAGGGGAATAAATCCTATCTGTGTGTTGTAACCCCCTACATATAGAGAATAGGGATGCGAGTGGCGCTGTGGTCTAAACCACTGAGCCTCTTGGGTTTGCCAGTCAGAAAGTTGGCAGTTCGAATCCCCGTGATGGAGTGAGCT